CCTTTATTTCTCCACACGCACCGGCGTGGCGTTTTCGGCTCAAACATCTATCTCGTTTTTTCTTCTTTCCCCTTGTTTGTTCTCCGTGTTCGTTCCATCTGGCTACCACTCCATGGTCAGTCAGGCCGTTCGGGCATGCGTGTGCGTGTGCGTGCGTCGACAGACAAACCTTGAGGTCGGGGTGTGATCCACACACAGCCGACCTTGTCCTTTGTCGCACGGCGTGTACCAATGCTCAGGCTTGACCGCGATATGCGCAGGGAGGACTCGATGGATGCGTGACTTACTTCAAGATGCCAACCAATTCACTGAAGGGAGAGGTGCTTCAAGTGCAATTAATTCGACCATGAGCAATGCACACACCGTGCGATATATGAGTCCGTCTACGCTGACGACGACCACATGCCGCGCATCCATCCATCCATCCATCCACGCACAACACACAGATGGCTCTCCCGCCACACACCACACTCAATCAACATAGCTCTATCCCCTCCCCCCTCTTATCCTCCCCTTTCGCACCCGCCCCGGCGGCTGTCGGACTCCGCCATTGGCGAATCCGCCGCCAAGCCAATGACCACGGGAAACCTCCAGTTGACCCCAACCACATAAGGGTTGGCCACTGATATTATAGATGCAGAGGAGAGACACACGAATTGGGTGAGGGCTGGTCTGGCCTGCATGCATGTATCTCTCTCTGTGCGTGTGCCTGACCTCCCTGCGTGGCTTCGTCCCAATCGAAGGGATCATCGTCTGCGAACTGTTCCGTGATGGAGGAGACACGGACATCCCCACCAGTGTCGGGAAAGGGCGCCGCTGTGGACTCCTTGGCTGCGAGATGGAGGATTGAACTAGATGAGAGTGCCGTGGCTGTCTTGGCGTCTTCTTACTTGTCTGTGCATGTGGACAGTTATGTGTCTCCCCGATACATCCCTTCAACTCGTCACAATACTTGAGGCCGTCGCGACACCCCCTTCCACTCGTGGGGAAATCCTCAGACATTTCCTGCACAGGACATGAGCCATTCATCGATCGACCGCCGCATGGAGTGTGAGTAAGCAGTCCTCCCCCTCTCTCCCTCGCTGGATGACTCACTCGTTGGGCTATCTCTGGCGGCAATGTCGGAAGATCTGGGAGAGTGTCCTCGTCAACAACAGTTCCTGACAGACAGACAGACAGACAAACAAACAGACAAGTGTGGTTTGTGTCTCTCGTCCATGTCTCAGTGTCTCTCGGTCTCACCGTGAGGCTGTTCGACCACGGTGGCATTGGCGAAAAGGTCTCCCTTGATGCCCTGATGAATGGGCGCGTTTGGATCTGACAACTCCTGGCTTATAGAGTGGAAGGCGCCCTCAGCGTCGGGCTCGCCCGGGTCGTTGGGCGAAAGAATCTGCACCACACACACACACACACACACCAAAGCCGGACTACTACGGTTGCGTTGACCGCCTGCTGATCGCCCACCTCGACAGTGACGACAGTGGACCCCGGCTTGACGTCCAAGACAATGATACGATCCAGCTGAATGACGGGAGAGGTGTTCGAGCATCCAACGTCAGCCATCAGCGTCTCCGTGTCTTGCTCTCTTCCTACCGATATGTGTCCCGCCTCTGCGAGGGCGATCGCCACTTCTTCCTTGAATGCTCCGAGGTCCTTTATGTCTTCGAAGGGATAGTCCAGATGAACCGCCGCCTCAACCACCTGATCCTGAGTTGATTGCACGCCATGAGATGAAAACAAAACACCACCGTCACTTCACTTACATCGTCCCCTTTTGGCGCCTCCAAGGTGTCGTTCGCATCGCCCAAGTCCTTCTTGATATCGGTTGGCGCCCTCGTCGGCGGTGGCGGTGCAAACACCTCCTTTTCCTCACGTGGCGGCATCTCAGTCGTCACAGCCTCAGTAGGGCCGACACTTGCCGGTATTGCCGTAGCCATTTCTCTGATGGGCCGTGCCGTCGTCCCTCTGGCCGGTGGGAGCGGAGGCGCTTCCTGTGGCCGTCTGGTGGTCGGCATTTCTGCGGGCACCTCTGCTGGAACAGGTGGTGGTGGTGGAACAGGCGGCATCGTCACAGCTGGAGATGGCGGCGCCGGGCTGGTTATGACATGTGGGGGAATGGTTGGGACGATGGGTGGAGGGAGAGTTTCCAGCGGCACTGGAGAGGCCGTGACCGTGACCTGTACGATACATATCATATCACACGCATGCACACCACCGACCGAATGCCCGCCCGCATTCACTCACCGGAGGACTAGATGGCATGGAGGCAGCCGTGGGGACAGCGGTGGTTGGGAGAAATTCTGTGGCGATTGGGGGGCTCTGAAACCATGGAGATCTCATTGGCACACCCAGGATGCATCCATGTCTTTGATGCGTAGATTACAGTAGCGCTGAGAGGAGCCTGAGATGGTATTTCTGTCGGCAGAAATGAAGGAGTCGCCGTCGGTGGGCCGGTCACCATCGGGGCAACGCTAGTGTCGGCAGGAACCTGAGAGACGAAGAAGAGACAAAGAGCATGAGACACGCCTGGATGCTTCATTCTGATTTTTCAGTCACTGTGGCGGGCTCCAGTGGGATTGCTGAAGGGCCCTCAGCTGACGGCGCCGCCGCTGTCGGCTGAAGAGGTGGTGACGACGGGCCACCTGTAGGCAGATCACTCGGAACCTGAAGCGGAGATGAGACATGAACCACCAATCGATGGTGTTACGCGTCTGACCGTCTCAAGCGGTGGCGTCGATGAACCCGCCGCCATCGTTGGAGATGTGATGTCAGCAGGCACAGGGGACTCGACATCAGGCGGAGCCCCACTCTCTACCTGCATGATATAGACCCACAGACAGACACAGCAAGCGCGTGTACATGTCTCTGATGCTGAATTTCACGACATACCGCGGCCTCACTCCCTGGGCCCTCCGTGGCAACCTCTATCTCCCTGGCCGACTCAGTCACAGCCCCCATTGCTGCATCCGCAGCACTTGTGCCTTCTGGTACTTCCGCTGGCAGCTCTGACAGCTGTGGACTGCCATATGCAATGGACTGAATGCCTTCTCGCCCCAACGACGAAGGGGCCGGCAGGATGTGGCGAGGTGCGTGTGGCAGCAGGCCGTGATGGGGGACAGTGAGCACAAAAGAGGACAGGGCAGGGGCAGGTGGATCTTCATTGGGAGAGGTTGGTGGAGGGAGCGGCTGGTCAGGACCTGACAACGCAATCATGAGAATGCAAGCCAGTTGGACACATCTCGGAGAGCAGGTGTCACCTACCGCGAAATAGGATGTGACCTCTCAGCAGGAAGTCAGATGGAGAGTGCCCTGCACGCCGGCAGAAGAGAAGAGCACCGTCCTGCACTGACATCTGACACTCGTGTGTTTCTGAGGCCGCTCACTTTTCCAATCTGCGGCCTCTACCAAAGAGAGAAGACCCGGAAAGAAGAGCAGCCAGTGCAGACAGGCCGCCATTGCGCACAGCCGCTGACCGAACAAGCCTCTCTCAAGCAAGTGCCAGGGATCTGCCACGCGCTCATTCATCAGACCCATGGAGATCTTTGCTCACTTTGTCTTCCTCTGCTCACCTACGGCGTTGCTGACCTGCCTTCATGTCTATCCGGGCCCTTCGTATTGGACCGTGCAAATTCGATGCATAGAGCTGCCCCCCATTTTCGTCGTTTTTCTCGCTTCGCAAGATGGATCTTCTCGTGCGAGCGTCCTCTGTGAGTAGCGATGTGGACAGCAGTGATATGGTAACGCCGTTAATATTGCCTTGGCCCTTCAAGAAGGACACCGAGCATGGTGTGCATAAGTGGAGGGTCACCCCTGACCTCTCGTTAGCCTGTCGAGAGGTGAGGGGATGCATGTGGGCATTGCACAAAGCGAGAAGATGCGAAAAAATGGCTGCATGCATGAGTCTCTGCATTGGATTTCTTTGTTTGGTTGTTGCAGATGGCCAATGATTTCTGGGCTGAGCGGAAGGCTGAGGGCAACACTCCATTCGTGACGGGAGACTACCGCTACGAGGGCATACGCCGATGGAGGTCACCTTCGACCCGGCCACCCGCCGATACTGGCCGCGGAGGGATTCCAAGATGACCTCAGACGCCTACCACTGCGAACCCAAACGTGTGTTCTGCAACCTGGAGGTAAAATAGTCAGCCAGACAATTGCAGCCAGAAGACCATGAAAGGGCCACATCCACGGCTCACCGGCGGTATCTTTCTTCATGTGTGCCCATTTGTTTGTTCACAGGTTCCCGAGCTGCACAAGCTGGGTGCGTATGAGTTGTCGGACATCCTCGAGGGCTAAGCCCACGGCCAAGGGCAGCCCCTACCCGTCCACCTCATCCATCAGCACGGACGCCCCCCACATGCCCACGGGTGATATCGACGAAATCGCCGTGCCCATCAGCAAGGCCAAAACCAGCTGCTGGTTAAGCATCGTGTCCATCCAAAAGCTCATCAAGTGGGTCATCGGCAGCTGCAAGATCGGCCAAGGCCCTGCCAAGATCGACGAGCACGAGATCATCATCTGAGCCCACAAGTCGTTTCGCCCCGCCCCGCTACCTACCTAGCGCCCGCCACACACCTCACGTTGTCGAAGTCAGCCCTCGAAGCTACTGTCGCCCGTCTGCTGCCAATCCGCCTGCCCCCAAGCCACCCACAATCGACTGAGACCTCGCGCCTGCAAGCGAAGGAGGAGCAACAACAGAGTGAAGAGGAGCAGTGAGCACCGTGCAGCCATGCCTGTGGGGCGCGTATGTGGCGGTGGCCAAGGCCCGAGAGTCCGCACACACAAGCCGCGCAGCCACCGGGCCATCCGTTATCGATGGGCGGGACGTCGCATCGACAAACCCCGTCCATCGATAACGGATGGCTCAGGCGATGTGTGTGGTTTGGGAGGGCGATGTGTGTGGTTTTGGGAGCCTCTTGCCCACCACACATCACACACATTATCACACACCACACACTTGCTCCACAGACAGCCGTCAAGAGGCGACTTGTGGCGCTGCATGGCTTCACGCTCAGCGACATGAGGGGCAGGGAGGCAGGCAGAAGTGCACAGCAGATGGCGGCGTGGCACCGAAGAGACAGATATACGGGGGCTGGGCTGGTGTGGTGTGGCGTGGTGGGGCCTGGCGGGGTGGGGCGGGGCGACTGTGGGCATGCATAAGTAAGGGATAGGTGGCGGTTGGATGGTTGTTTGGAGTGTGCCGATTCATCTACACCTGCCTGCCTGCCTGTCTGCCTGCCTGACAGTGCATGGGTGGTGTCGGTCGGTCGGTCGATGTCACTAAGGTGAGTGACGCCATCGGACGGACGGTAGCTACTTTGTCTGGGGGTGGGATGGAGCCAGCAAGCAGCCAAACGAGACAGGAAGAGAGACACAGAGAGATATCGCTGCTAATGGCTGGCTGGCTGGCTGGCTGCATTTACTAACGTGCGGTCAGCCGTCTCCGTATTTGCCTGGCTCTGTTTCCTTCATTGCTCTCGGCTGCTGGGAGCCTCTTTGTCTCCATGAAAGTGTGTGTGTGTGGGGATGGGATGACTGTGCGTGGGTGGGTATGTTGGCATGGCTGTCGTGTGTGTTTCATCGTCATGTTATTGAGGAGGTACCATCCCTCCCTCCCTCCGTGGTGCTGTGTGCCCACCTGTGTGAACGACCGGATGAATGGATTTCATTGATGGACACCCCCTTGATGATGTCAATGCATACATACGCACAGAGATCGGACCCCTCACAGCATGCCACGGCCTTCACCCACCAGTGCACTTACTGTACACGGACTCCATGCCCACCACCGACACAAACCACCGACACAAACATACATGTCTGTGTGTATGTGTGTATGTTTGTGTGTATTTATGTACAGATGCTCGGGCCATGCACACACGCCCCTTCTCAGCTGCTTAAGTCACCCTCCCCCGGGTGTGTTGGAGATCTTGCCATGGTGAAGCTGAACACATGCACACACAACCGGACAGACCCATCAATGTGTGCTCTCGTGCGTGTGCTCCGTCCGTACCCAGCTGAGGGCCTGCGCATCGGTGAGGGCATTGATGGCGGTTTCGTTCTCGAGGCTGGCGCGGAACTCGGTGTCCTGCAGCCAACTGAGCACTTGCAGACAGTGGGGGTACCTGCATTGCATTGCATGCACACACATGCAGCCACACCGCGACACAGTCATTGGTGTTCGTCGGTTCGGTTCACACGTGCCTGCCTGGTGGCAGCTCACTGTATGTATTTGAGGTATGGAGGTGTCCGCCAGTACTGCAGGTACGCCAGGAAGTTGACAAACGCCGCCTCGCGGAAGTAGCGCTTCTCGGCCAGATCTATGAATGAAAGGAAAAGCACCATCACACAATTGATTGATCCACACGTCATCGCTTCGCTTGCTGCTTGTGTGTGTGGCTTACATACAGTGGAGGTATCGTGGGTCGGCGAGCATCTGGACGAACTCCAGCTCCTGCTGAAACCGAAGACTGTTCTCCTGCACACACGCACACACAAAGATTGATCCATCTCAACAATCAGCTACCGTCATCAGTGTGTGTTGTGCGCGTTCGTGACCCTCACCGAGCCAGCGCCGCTGGCAGACGACGCCATGCCTGGCTGCAAGAGTGTTTTCGCTGACAGCACGAACCAACAGAATCAGTCAGTGATATATCGAAGCCCAATTCAAGATCTTCGCCGAGCGGCACAGAGAAGCCGTCGCTGCAGCTCCCTTCTGAGGCGACGTTGAGGCGAATCAGACGCGAGCTAATGTGCGAGCTCAGAACCACAAGAAGAGGGCGTGCAGATCTCTCTGGTGCTGCCCTGTTATCGGTCATAGAAGATGATGCTTTTCCGCAAGGTGCGAGTACGGCCAGGGCTTCCTTCGCAAGGCGCTGACGCCCTTGTGACTGCCGCATCGAGCCTTGGCCACTGTGATGCAAGAAGCGTGCCGCCCGTCATCTGCGTATTCGGCCGTGGGTTTGGCAGCAAATACTCAGTCAACAAGCCTCTGTAAGCAAGAAGCAGTCACGCCTCCCTGCGCTGTCTGTAACGGTCTACTGTGTGTTGTGTTGTGTACTCATCCATCCGTTCCATTCCATTCAGGTACGACTCGACCATGTCGGCCAACAGCAGCTTTCCCGCCACCTCCCCGCGCCCCGAATCCCTCCCCAGCCCCTCATTCCGCAAGCCAAAGGCAGCAGGAATGGCCACGCCAGGCCTGGACTGCTATCGGTTGCCCGTGTTCAGCCCCATAGGGCAGCTCAGCAGAGTGGTGCTCCATCACGGCGACATCCTCAAGCTGCGTGTCGACGCCATTGTGCAAGAGCTGGACCGATCTCTGTCTTTTCACATGGGTGTCGGGCGGCCGGGCGCACTGTTCGCTTACGGCGGGCCGAAGCTGGCGGAGGCGTGCAGGACGGCGGGGCCGATCAAGCCGGGCGAGGCCAAGTTGGTGGAAGGGTTCGATCTCGCCTGCAGACACGTGATCGTGACGCATGGGCCTTACGGAGAGGATGAGCAGGTGCTTAAGCAGTGCTACACGAACGCCCTGGAGGTGGCGAGCCGCAACGGGCTTACCAGCATCGCCTTCTCGTGTGTGGGAACTGGCTTCAATCACTATCCTCAGTACTATGCGGCTGAGGTGGCTGTGGGGGCGGTTAGTGAGTGGCTGAGTGGGCCGGCCGGGGCTGCCATCGAGCGGGTGGTGTTCTGCACAGAAATCGATGAGGACTGGAAGATCTATCACATGGTGCTGCCCAATGTCATGGCGCGGTGACTTGACCTGCCGACGGACGGCGTCCCACGGGATGGACGACGTCCATGTGTGTCAATGGGCTGTTCTGGATGGCCCTTTATTTCCAAGGCTGGCCCTGTGTCTGCAGGCCTGGATTTCTGACTGAAGGGCTTGGTCGTTGGTTGAGTGCACGACTGGACATCCACCTCCGGGCTGGCCGCGGGGTCAGCTTTGGCTTAGACGTCGCTTGTGTCTGTTGTGGTGCGTGGCCTCTTTCTGGATGGATGGATGGCATCATGTGAATCGAATCGGCCATTTCTATCTATCCTACTGTATGTGACGGATGGATGGAGAGAAAGTTTGTCGCCCAAGCGCATGCCACACATACACGAGCAATCCGCCCGTGAATGAATGTCTGGGTGCAGATCCACCAGGGTTTCCAAACCCTTGACCCCACGAGCACTCGTCCGCATTCCATATCCACCTGTTTGCTGCATCTGCCCTCTGCGTGCTGCGTGTTGCGTGTCCGGGTTGCATGTTAGGGTGGTGTTTCATGATCGGCTGCCAGGTCGCCTAGGGTGCTCCCTGAAACCGCTGCTGCTTCTTGACCACACGAACACTCGACGGCTATGGGGCAGACAGAAAGCCGTGCGTCGACAGACGGCAGCGCTTCCGGTGCCAGCGACGCCGCCGCTGCCAGACCTCCCGGCAACGGCCTCCAGGACGTCGTCAAAGACGTTGTCGAGGGCAGCCTTCACGAAATCAACGACGTGATTCAGCTGTTCGAATCCATCCTGCCGCAGCAAGCGCAAGCCGCTGCCCACGAGACGGCCAAGAAAGACGAGGCGCCTGCCGCCCATGCAGACACTCCTAAGGACGAGCCTCAGGTGGTGAGGTCCCCTGCAGGAGAGTCGGGCGAGGAGGGGAGAGAGGAGGTGCGCGGACTGGCGCATGTGCCGCCGAGGCCGCAGCAGGAGCGGACCTGCCGGCCGCAGCAGATGGTGGAGCGACAGGGTGCCTGGAGCCGGGAGAAGAAGGAGCTGCAGAAACGGGTCGAGCGGCTGCTGCGCGACAGGAAGAAACTCAGCAAGGTGCGGGAGAGGGAGGGAGGGCACGCACCACACGTGGTTGTTGGATGCATCGAGAGAGACAGCTGCTCACTTTTGACACATTGTCTGTCTGTTTGCCTGTCTGTCTGTCTGTCTGCAGGAGGTTGACGACTGCAAGAGTCGCATCGACGAGTTGGAGGCGCAGAAGAAGAAGGCCATCCGCGGCATGATCATATCGGGCGTTGTGGGGGGCATGGGCATGACCAGCCTGCTCTTCTGGGCCTCAGGAGTCAAGTAAGCCACAACACGCACTTAGTCACATCACATGCCGTTTGCTTTGCGTGTATCGGTCTGTCTGTCTGTCTGTCTGTCTGTCAGGATTGAGAGTTCTCGTCACAAGGCCCAGTACAACCGTGCGGAGAAGGAGCTGCGCACCGAGCGCGAGCGGCGCGAGAAGGCCGAGAGGGCCCAGCGGCACTATCAATCCAAGTGCATCCACCTCACACGCGGCGACCCCGACGTACCCCTTCCTGCCACCGACAGCCTCCCTTCTCCCTCCATCACACCCACTAGCACCACCATCACCACCGCCGCCCCCGTGCTGCCTTCTGGTGTGGATGTGGCGTCGACGCTCAAGGAGGGGCCGCCGGCCGAGGGCTGGTCGCAGGCCGAGATGGCCGCCCTGTACCGAGCCGGGCTGTCCCGTGAGGACCTCCGCAAAATGGACGAGAAGAGCGAGACCGATCGGCAGCAGCAGCAGCTGAATGAGGACAAAGGCGCCATCAGCAGTGATGAGGAGGGTGCCGAGATGATGCACGAGGGCGAGGGTGAGGGCGAGGAGCTCGAGGTGCGGCTGGCCGACGAGGAGATCGATCGCATCGCCGCGGCGCTCAGCTCGCGGCTGGCCGACAAGCTGCAGGTGGACATCGACCCCAGCAAGGTCATGGCCCTTCGCGCCGTCCCCTACCCCAAGTCCACGGCCCACTACCGGCTCGCCAACCAGGCGGCCGTCATCGACCGCCTCCAGGCCAAACTCGCCCAGGTGAGGAAGCAGAAGATGGAGCAGGGCGTCGAGCTCAAGCTCTACCGCCAAGGCAACATCCAGCCCCTCGTCGACACGACCGCATACGCCACCCGCCGCCGTACGCACAATGCCGCATTCGCCAAGGCCAGCACCGGCAGTGGCACTTCGCGTGGCGGCCTGCTGCTGTTCGGTGTGGTGATGGCTGGTGTGGGCTTCGCGACGTGCTGGGTGATGGAGGAGGGCGCCTTGTTTGGCGAGTGGGGCGAGTGCCCGCCTGTTCGCTTTCCGTCGTTTAATTTGAAGGGGCTGTCGCTGGGGGCCGCCCCACAGGTGTTTGACCGGTCGTGAGAGGGGTCTGACTGGATGGATAGAATGGATGCAGTGAGTGGATGCCTTAGTTTCGTCCCATATCTCTCTTGGCGTGG